AGTCAAAGTCTAAACTGTAAGAAAGAGATGGTTCTAGGAAACCAGTGCTTCTTACCCTCTGCACCGTGGATTTCTGTAGCTGGATAGTTCTTTGCTGTGGGAGGCTGTCATGTGCCTTTTGGGATGTTTAGCAGCTCCTCTGGCCTCCACTGATAAGATGCCACTAGCCCCTCCCTTTCCCCCATCATGGAAACAAAAAATGCCTCAAATATCCCCTGAAGGGCAAAACCACCCCTACTTGGAACCACTGCAGTAAACAAAGTAGGTTTTCTCTAAAGTGAGGGAGGGAGGGAAGGGGGTATATCTCTCCAATTTCCAACATCAGGATTCTTTGATATAGTTCCAAATTGTATAACTGATATTGTTATTGGGAGGAAAGTTAATATACACAAATTCCCTATTAGGATTTAGATTCCAATTTTTAAAAAATTATCTTCCATATCCAAATCAATAAAAACTACACACAATAAAAATATAAACCTTTTATGTTGAGAACAAAGAGATTTCTGAGTTGTATCATACAAACATTACTTGCTGTAAGCCATGAAATGATGCACTGCAAGCACACATTATTTGCAACCAGAGTCTATGATAATTCCACCAAGTTGCCACACTAGACTTCCAAACAATATATCTGGAAGAATATATGTCAAATGTGCTTCACCAACAGCAAGATAAAAAACTGTTGGGAAAAAAATGTTACTGGTTTCTTTCCTTGGAATTTCCTACTACATTTCCATGACTGGCTTTGTTAAGGACTGAATTGTATTCCCTTACCCCAAAATGTATATGTAAACATCCTAATACCCATTACCTCATAATGTGGCTGTATTTAGAGATAAGGTATTTGAATAAATAATTAAGTCAAAATGAGGTTGCTAGGTGGGCCCTAACTGAATATGATTGGTTTCCTTATAAGAAGAGGTTATTAGGACATAGAAACACACAGAAGGAAGACCTCACGAAGATATAGTGGACATGGCCATCTTCAAGGCAAGGAGTGATGTCAGAAGACACTAAACCGGCTGATGACTAGATCCTGGAATTGTGGCCTCCAGAATTTGAGAAAGTACATTTCAGTTGTTTAAGCCACCTGATTTGTGGTCTTTTGTCACAGCAGTTCTAGCAAACTAATACAGGTGCTTTTCCGTCTTCCCTCGTGGCTGTGCTATAGGTCTTTTGACTTCCTGGTGACTACTTTCCTGCTCATGTACAGGTAACAGCACCGCACTGACTGGATGATTTGGGTGGGATTTAATTTTGAGATCACCAATTTGACTCAAGTGAAAGATTTTATGAGGACACTTGTAGGTATTAGAAGAAAGAGAAGCATGGCAGCTTTGAAAAATGATGGGCACTAGATGAAATTAGAAATAAGACTTTCTCAATGTTCCAAATGCAATTGCAAAGTTGAATCCATTCATCTCTGAAGATGTTCTGAGGAAATTAACCTATTATCACTTGTGCAGTGACAGATGTCATTGTCAATTTTGAAATATAACTCCGTTGCTCCTAGCTGTATACCTCATTATTCTCAAGTATCCATAATTTTCTGTAACTAAAAGGGAGGGTTAATATAGTGACTGCTGTCTTAAGAGTTATCATGAAGCTTAACTAATTTGGCCCATGTATCTGGCTAATGGAAAATAATTATAAATGTTAGCTGTTATTCCTAACACTAATATTAGGTTATACTTATGCCTGTGTTGTATGTTTAATATGATCATTTCTAGCCTAACTTGCATTGTTTTCTCATATGTTTTGTTTCAGATACCTAACTGAAATTTAAAGACAGACGATTACCCCAAAACATAGAAATTTAGTTTTATATAAAAAAAGACCTTTTCCCCTTCTATTATTATTATTGTTACTTTTGAAAGGGTTAAGAAGACTAATTAGAGATACTCTGACTAAGTCAGAGTAGGAAGTTTATATGGAAAGTTAGAAAAATCATATTCTAATCAAATATAGTATAGTTATAAGTTAACTATAAATTAAAATTTTGGACAGATAATATACTGTATCTCATCTATGTTTGCAGTCACATATTCCATTAGATCTTATCCTTATTTTATATTTAATAATTAGACATTACAAATGGCTGTTGACTCAGCATTGCAGAAATATTTAACAATTTGGAGGGATTTTAACATTTAGTTTTAAAATGCACTTGCTATTATAGATGTGCACTGAAAATAATTTCATGAACATGCCATGACTTAAAGCATTGATGTGAAATTGAAGAGGATTTATTATTATTTTAGTGGCTCAAGTCTTAAAATGCATTTTTGGATTTATTTAGAATAGCAATTTTTCAACAACCATTTATTTGCATAGTTATTAATACATCTTAAACCATTAAACTGTCTCATTTAAAAATTTTTTGTATGATTTTTGGCTCTGCATCATTGGAAATACCTGCTAATGGATAGACTTTTTCAATATAATGGATTATATTTATGCAATTTTTTTTTTTTTTTTTTATTTATGCAATTTTTTTATCTTATGTTAGAATGAAATTATATTTTCATCTTAGAAGACATAAAAAATGAAAATTATATCATTTATAAACATCTCGAGGAGTAAAAAAATATATAAAATCTTATACAATATGGTGTGATATTGACAAGACATAAAAATATTTACATCACACACCATGACAAATTACATTGTTTACATAAACTTTTTAAAGACTACTTAAAATGTAGAAGTGCAGGTATAAACATCTCGCTGTAATTACACAGGAAATAAAGAGAAAAGAAAAAACAAGAAGAATAAAGCAGAAAAAATTAGCCATAAGTCTACAGGGAAAAATATTTATTAAATCCAACTCATATCAATAGCTATCTATTAAATAGTTATTAAGTGTGTTACTGTCTGCAAAACAGCTAGTTGCTTTAAAAAAATGTGAAAAACAATAGGAGGAGGTAAGAAGAAAAAGGAAAGAAAGAGGAGGGAGAAAAAAGACTACAAACATATCCTCTTCTTCATCACATGAGAGTCTTTCCAAATTTATGGAAAACAGTATGGAGTTTCCTCAAAAATTAAATATGGCAACGCCATTTGACCCAGTGATCCCACTTCTAGGACTATATCTTAAGAAACCGGAAACTCCAATTAGAAAGAATGTATGCACCCTTATGTTCATAGCAACACAATTTATAATAGCTAGGATCTGGAAACAGCTCAAGTTCCCATCAGTATATGAGTGGATAAAAAAAAGCTGTGGCATATTTATACCATGGGATACTATGCAGCAGTACAAAAGAAGGATCTCTTACTCTTTGAGATAGCATAGAGAGACCTGGAGAGTATTATGCTAAGTGAAATAAGTTAGTCAAAGAAAGACAAATATCATACGACTTCACTCATATGTGGAATCTAATGAACAAAATAAATTGTCGAACAGAATAGATCCAGAGACATAGAAGCACAGAATGGACTGTGGAATCTCAGAGGGAAAGTGGGGGAGAGTTGGTTGGTGGGAAGAAATCAACCAAAGAACTTGTATGCATATATGCATAATCCATTGATATAGACAATAGGGTGGTAAAGTCTTGGGTTGGGGGTTGTGGGCAGGCTAGAAGAATCAACAGGGGGAAAAGGGTATATATGTAATACTTTCAACAATAAAGTTTGGTTTAAAAATGTACATTACGTTCCAGATAGGGAAATAATGTAGTTAATATCCCAACTTAAATAAATTTGGCAAATTTATCTGTCAATTAGAGAGGACTTCAAATTACTCGGAAGGACTCGGTTCACTTTGAAATTAGCACAGAGTTGGACACATCTCAGCAGTTGCCTGCAGCTGCTCAGTTCTGCTCTTAGGATGTCCCCTTCCTTGTGTGGCTCTGATAACCTGCTTAAGAGGGTGAATGTGTGCCAGCACCCTCCATTCACCCCTTCCCATTGCCAGTCACTGGTTACATGAAAAGCCACTTCAAATGTCCATAAAAACCTTAAAGAAAAGCCTTCTGAAAGGCTCATTGTAAGCTTGAAATTTCTTGTGGCTGAGCAAAGCACTTTGGTCACTGTGACTTTAAGGCAACATGTAAATAACAAGGTATTAAACAAATATCAGCCTTCATGAGCTAGAAGAAGACAGTGGGGGAAAATAATTCAACTTAAACAGGTCCAATGGCACATTCAATCAATGTACAGCCATTACTCAAGGTTCTGTAATAATAACCCAGAGGTTTCACCTACATTCTAAAAAACAAGTGTGAAATAAGATGAAGACTACTTTCTTCAGATTTCCTTAGAAATGCTGCTATCCTCATTGTAATTTGGGCCCAGAAAATTGGGAGGAGGGATGTAATGCAGGAACACTTTATATCTATAACCACAAACATAAGTGAGCTCCTCAGACATTCCATCAAAGATGTTAACATGGTGGATGTAGGCACAGGCCTGGACAATTAATAAGTGTGGAGAAGAAACCAGGAATCATGCCATTGTGGGCCAGAGAAAGAGCCTTTAGAAGTTATTTGGTCAAATATGTATTTTTTGATGTGAGAAACTGAGACTCAAGAGATGCACTGACTCAATGACCTCATGTGATAGAGATCTCTGGCCTATATTTTCTATCATCACCCCAAATTCTTAAAAATTATGATACAAGTTCCCTTGGATAACCTGTGCACAGAGACCACATTTGTTAACATCTTTAAGATGCAAAATGAAATAGAAATAGAAATGATGCCTCCATTTCTTCAATTCTCTCTCTCTCTTTTAAAAAAAATATATTTTATTGATTTTTTTACAGAGAGGAAGAGAGAGGGATAGAGAGCTAGAAATGTCGATGAGAGAGAAACATATACCAGCTGCCTCTTGCACACCCCCTACTGGGGTTGTGCCCGCAACCAAGGTACATGCCTCTGACCAGAATCGAACCTGGGACCTTTCAGTCCGCAGACCAACGCTCTACCACTGAGCCAAACCGGTTTTGGCCATTTCTTCAATTCTCAATTCCAAAGGGAAGTAATTGCTTTACTTACCTACAGGGAAAAAGTCACTCATTTTCTTTTTGTAGATTTTGAAGTCGACTTCTAAGAAGACACAGAAGATGATTCGATCCACCTAGAGGCAAAAGATAAACACTCAAAGTGAAAGAAAATATGGCAACTACCTTCACAGAACATGGTCTTAGAGCAAAAATAAAGTGAGAAGTCCTCCTACAGATTTTTGGTGCTGTGCTGCTAGCTACACGACAGCACTGAGTGAAGTTCAAGTGTGCGAGTGTGTATATGAGTGTGTGTATGTGCATGCGTGTTAGTATATGCATGTGAGTATATGTGTGAGTATGTGTGTATGTGCATGTGTGAGCATGTGTATGTGACTGTATGCATGTGTATATGTGTGAGTATATGTGTGTATGAGTGTGTGTTAGTATGTATATGTCTGAGTGTGTGTATGTTTATGTGTGTACTTTTTATGTAAATAAGCCCATGGACTTTTTCTTGGAAAGATGTTATATAAATCAAACAAGAAATAATAAATGACAATAATCTACCTTATAGTGAGCTATAAATAAGATCTAAGATTCTGACAGGATACCTAGACTTTATGTCTTATAAAACAGCCACATGAGAGGTGTACAGCAGAATAACAATAAAGTATGTCAGTAAACAAAGCTCTTTGTCCTACCCTTATTGAATATACTTATCAATTCTAATTGTATTTGAGTATAAATAAAAAGCTTCTTCCAGTTTAATCTGCATGAAGTCACTTGCTCTTGGCTTAACATATTCAAAAATGCAACAGAAATAAAATACAATTAATTGACAGTTATATGAGGCCAATATAACTTTAATCTAGTAAGTATTATGGGATAAGTAAATGCCACTTCAAAAGTAAACTGTGCGTGCAGTCATCCTTTCTGCTTTGAGAGAGTTTCTGCATGTCAGGAGTTTCTTTGAGCATTCAGAAAGTACGGTAAGCAGAAGAGAGAAATGGAGTATGGGTAATAGCTCACATATATCTGATATTGAATCAGTGACTCAATTGTGTGCCTTGAAATAAATACCCCATTTAGTTCCTTCATTGTAACAATCTACCACAAGTTAAAAATTACTTAATCTATCAAACTACAACTGGTAATTGAAAAGAACATCAGGGAGGCATTTTTCAGGACAGTAAGGAATGGAAGTGGGATGTGCTCATGGCAGGATATGAAAGAACACAAATGGACATCCTGCTCTCAGCCTCTCAGCTCTTCAGCCTGTGGGGTTCAGATCTACCTAGCCAAGTTCAACGTTCCCAGCAGGAGAGATCTACAGGTGTGGGAGGAGGAGAGGGAGGGCTAGGGCACAAGGAATCACCAGGATTCCCTGATGAAAGCTCAGAGTTGTGGCTCCCTGACCCCTACAGAAGTCTAGACCCACGTGTAGATACACTGCCTCCGGGGCACTTACTGGACTTCTGTGGTATAATCACCAAACACCATACAGTCCCAGTAACTGCCTACATATTATAGATTGTAAGAGAAAGCATCTGGACTCCCAAATGGAAGGAGATGTGTACAAATATCCATATTTTCTTTTCCTGTATTCAATTGAGTCTCTGCATATCAATATTTAGTTCTTTCTGCATATCAATATCATTTTCTTCAAGTGCAAAAAACTGTCACCATCAAGATACCCTCCAGGTGAACTATGAAATCAGTTACAAAAATGATTGACTAGCTGCAATACTGAATGCTAGCTATACTCTCCTTATGGCATGTCTATGCCCTGTGACTAAAGATAAATATCATAATGTTGAGCAATAGAAACAAGTTCCAAGGGAACATATATTCTATGATACCATTTATATACGGTTTTTAAAGCACAAAGATATAACAGGGAAGGGAGTCATTCATAAGCATGAATATTCAGAAACATACCCAAGAATATCATACACAAACCTCAGGATGCTGATTACTTCTGGGGAGAGAGGGAAGCTAAAGAGATGAACAAGTAAGTCTTTAACTGAATAGCTAATATTTTACTTGTTTAGAAGGGAAAGAGATTAGAGAAAATATGGCAAATGGATAATAGCTATAACTATGGGGATAAGTACATGGTTATCATAAAATGTCCTATATTTTTGAAATAATACATAATTAAGAGTTCTAACACTAAAAATAAGACTTGTCTTAGACACATTCTACTCTCCAATTGCACTGAGCTGCTTGTTGTTTCCAAACACCATAATTATTCTTACTCCTGTTCCTATGATGGTTGACTTTTTCTCTAGGCTTCAAGTATGGTAGTCTAATTATTTCTAAAACCATTTAGTTGAGATAAAAAGAAAAAAAAGAAAATTTGACTTATAACAAACCTAAAAAGACCAACCAGGACAATCTCATATATACACATTTTCCTTTATTTTTTACGTTTACTTAGTATAAATTATCATTTTTTAAAAAATACTCATGTACCTGTGCGTGTTTGTGTGGAGAGGGGTTAGTGGTAATACTTCACAGACTACTAGTGCAGATTTCTTAAATATTGCAAAGAATTTAATCCACTTTCAACATTTTAGTCTTTGTTACCATGGAAATGGTATGAGTCCCAATTTCAGCAACCTGATTTTATTTTTCCAGAGAGAAGGTAGATGATGAGGAAAAGGTACTTTATTTTAAACTAATTGAGTGGCCCAGTTCCATGCCCTGGCCTTCCAGCATGACACTGAAAATATCTCAAAAGCAAGATGGATCCAATAATTAACTTCACATACCAAGTACTTGTTATGTAGGCATATGAAAATACATATATGTGCGAAAAAGCATAGTCTCTGTTAGTCAAGACCTCATTTGAGTTGAAAGCCTTGTGTTCATAAACTCATGTTGGGTACTGATCAGTGCTTGTGGTAGATTGTGTTTTCCAAGATGGTGTGCAGCATGGTGTCCGGTCCCCCAGGCTCTTCTTAAAATGTGATGCTAACACTCCTCTCATTGAGAGGTGGGATCTTTATTCTTTCCTCTTGAATCTGGGAGTGTCTGTAGCTCTGGCAGAAATGACATGTAACTTCTGAGTCCAAATCATTGGAGATGATGTGGCTTCTATCTAGCCCTCTTTGGATGTTTACTCTTGTGCCCAATCACCATGCCAGGAGGAAGCAGAGATACTATATGAAGCACCCACATGTAGAAGTTCTAGCCAATAGGCCTAGTCGAAAGTGAGTAGCCTCTGTATGATTTTAGCTCCTGACTTTTGAATTACACAAGGTGATGCCACCTGGAGCAGAGATATGCTGTTCCCGCTGGTCTCTGCCCAAATTGCAGATCTGTGAGTAAAACATGGAAACACATTTCTAGAGATGTGATATTCTTCTAGCATCTTCCTCTTGCCACTGTTGGGATTCTTTGTGTTTCAGCTATGTGACACTGGGCACTTGGTGAAAAGCTCAGACTGAATGGATCCAGTAGAAGCCACAATGGGGAGACAAAATATATAGAAAGTCTAATTGCTGCATGACCGATTAAGAGATTGGAAATATGACCTGTGCCCATTCTTGCCCCAGATAAACTTCATGAGAATGTGTAACAATGGCTTTATTTTTTCTTTTATGGTAGGCACTTCCTTCAAAAATGTTATAAAGTGGTTATTCTTGAGAGACTGTGTTTATTCATTTACTCATTAGCTATTAACTGAGCACTTTCGATGCACTGGGCCTTGCCCAGGTGTCATTCTCTCACCAGAAAACCTAAATTCAGTTTGAGTATTTTTCCCAAGGTCAAACAATTAATTAGTGGCAAAATCTCAGGCATCTTAATTTCATGTCCACAGTTCATTCTGTAATATCACCCAGATGGACACACATGGGAACTGAGTTTACATACCTGTCACTATCTCTGTGACATTGGCCAAACCACCAGCTTACTGGGATGTGGTTTTCATGTCTTTATAAAGAAAGGATTAAATTGTATGCTCCTTTTATTTATTCTTTAATGCCAGTTAAAGTCTGTCTCTGTGGTCATTTTGTATTCAATTAGCTTAGGTAAGCTGGGATTTACATTTCTCTGGGTTATGGGTTAGAGTTGGCCACAGAGAAATTTCTATGAGATTTGGAGGGCAAAAGTGAAGCTGCAACCACTACATTAGGCAGGTGAGTACAGGGCATCAGGCGCTGGGCAGGTGGTGTGCATGTTGATCATCAGCTGGCCTGTGGCTTTTGCAACCCTTGCTGTTTCCCCTGCCTCAGGTTGTCTGAGTCCTGGGCTGGGCACATATGGATTTCTGCTGCAAAGACACCAGCTCCTTCTGCAGGGCATTGCAGTTTGTGGGTGCCATGCCCTGAGAGACAGATGCATGTAGCAGTCTGTCCCTGTGGGTTCCTGTTTGCCCTCAGAGCTTCTACTTTGTCTTTGTTCTTTTCAACTTTGCATTCAGTTTTCCTCTTGACCATCTCTTGACCTGCCCCTTGATTACCTACTCTGCTGACATACTCCAGATCTGGTCAGCTGCAGAAGCAATGGCCTTCCATTGACTTCTTCACCAGCTTTGCTCTGCTCAGCTAATTATACCTTCTGAACGTTAATTTTCCCATTTCCACCTACAATTGTATAAAATCTAATCCCTATAACAACTCCCTTATCCTATTCTACCCACAAGATTCAGCTTCCCTTATTAAACCCTGCCTGATCTAATCTTTACCATATCACTGAAGATCATGTAGGAGAACACAGTGAAGGACAAAATATAATAACAATGTTCCTTTTTGGAGGCATTTAACCTGCCAAGGTTACTCAAATTCCATTTACTTCCTTCAAGATAAACTTTTGTTGGTCCTGTTCAGTTTCTTGGTGAACTTCCTAAAGTGTGCAGCCATTCTTTCGTAGTTAAAGAAACTCTGTGTACTTAAAATGACTCACCTCCCCTTTTTTAACTGGATATTTATCAATCTATTCAGTTATTTTAAATATATTTTTATTGACTTCAGAGAGGAATGGATAGGGAGAGAGAGATAGAAACATCAATGATTAGAGAGAATCATTGATTGGCTGCCTCCTGCATGCCCTCTACTGGGGATTGAGTCTGCAACCGGGACATGTGCCCTTGTCTGAAATTGAAACAGGGACCTTTCAGTCTGCAGTC